AGGAAAAGGAATAGAATCCTCAAATAATAGCCCCAATAATGTTTTCTTATAAGATAAATCTCCATTCTTTTAAAACAAACTTTTTCCAGATATTAATTTTAACAATTATTCAGGCTTCACTCATATAAATATTCTACTATATCCAACAAGTCAATATTTTAAGTAACTTATATTTTTAGAATTATAATTATATCTCTCCAATACTTGTATGATTATAAAGTTAGTTTTACAAGTAATGTGCTAGTTATTTAAATTCTTGTTAAATTTATTAATGAAGAATAAAAGAATAAATAAATTTAATAATTTATAATTAATCTTTGGAGAATTGTCATTCAATATATTCCAAATATTTTTTAGTTGATTCAAATTCTCTATTTTTTCTACATTTTCTGTAATGCATTATATTTATGCAAAATGTTCATAATAGGTGAAAGGTTCTTTGTGATTTTGGAAAAAAAAATGTTTATTACTGATTAGTAATAAAATTCGTAAATTCTAGATACTAAAATTCTAGATTTTTGAATATTCTATGAGGTCATTGTTATTATATGCCTCAATAATCCAGTTACTTTAGAGGATAATGATCTGGAATATGGCAATCTAAAAACGAAAGTGTATATATATTTTATATTAATAAAGTTGGAATGTAAGTTGCTAAAGAGTGTACAAAGCATGAGCTTGCTTGGCAAGTTGATCTCTAAAGAAATAATATGAATTTATTTGCATCTTTTTTGATACAAGTTAAATATGATATTTATTGATAATAACTCTTCAATGTAACTTAGTCTTCCGCTAGAAATAAATAAAAACTTCAATATTAATCTAATTAGAATATTCTTATAGATATATTTATTATTTCTATTTCAGGTGAATATAAATATTAAGCATTCTTTTCATTATCAGCTAATTATTTGCTATGATTACTTCACTTTTAATTTAGCTTTTCTAAGTATCTTGAGCATTTTTTTTAGACAAATTAGATTTAAATATCCTAAAACTTTGCTCTATTGGATGATTACTTCCATTATCCTTTGTAAGACTAACAATTGAGAGAATTAATAATATTCCTTGAACCTAATAACACTGAATTATTTCTTCCTTTTTTGAAATTTGAAATTTGAAATTCATATAAAATAGTTTAAAAAGGTAGCTAAATTATGTTTTTTAAAACTTACCTTTCTCAATTAAATTCTTTGTTCTTATGATTATTTATAATTTCCTTGTCCCTTATAAATAGATAATACATAACTTTCTAATTCCTTTGTATCAACTCAATTATTTTTGCATTCTATTTAAGAACTAAAAACTTTCGAATTCTTCATCTATAATATTCAAATTTTTATATCCAATCAGGAAATTTAATTTAATATAATAAGAAATCTTTGGAAAGTATCAAAATTGAGGGATAATTCCTGTAAATAATTTTTAATTTACCATTAATCAATTTGTTCATATTCTTTAGTAATTTTAGTTGTAATTTTAATTCGAATAATTGATTTGTTATTTTAAATGAATAATTGCAATTAGAGTTCTATAACTTAAATTTTTCCAAATTTTCTAGATTAAAATTTCTACCTTTCAATAACCATCACATTAGTTTATTTAAAAAGTGACATCAAAAATCTATATTATCAAAATTATTCCTTATTTTCCAAACCCAAATATCACTACTATGATATCTTAATCTACTTAGAAATTAATGAATGATACTCAAATAATAACATTCTCAAATTAAAATAGAATATAAATAATTTGTTATAATGACACAATCTTATTGATTAAAATTAAAAATGCTTGAATCAATGTGATTTATTATATATTATAAACTAAAATTTCTAGAGATCATTAGAAAATAATTATCTTCAAATTTATAACATTAACTTTTTATATCTCCTTTCATAATCTCAATTTTTATTTATATACTTTTATAAATTATAGATTCCAGAATTTGATTTTTCTATTCAATTTGGGCTCAAGAAGTATCTACTTTATAAATTTATGATACTTTCAGACATATTTTAACTTCTTAAATCATTTCTTGAACTTCTTCTTCATTTTCCATTTCAATAAATCATTCTTATAATCCTCTGTCTTTATTATTGATACTCCACAAGTTCTAAGCCTCTTTCGAATATGGATAAGACAAAATCTTCAGTAATAAAGGTCTAAACATGTTATATTTATATAAAAAAGACTGATTTTCCCAATACTCACAACTATTGACAGACCAAATATAGATTCCTTTTTCTTTACAATTTGTGGTAGGAAATCTATATTGTAGAATTTAATCGTTTTTCCTTTAAAGGTAGAGGAAACACATCCTAAAGTATTAGTATTCGTCTATCACTAATTTAAGTTTTCTTAAGCTAGTTAATTGATTATACTTTCAATTTAATCTGACTTAATATTATTCTCCTCCCAATATCTATTTTCTGAAATTACAGGTACTTTTTTTTATAGTTCCCCTAGATTTTACTTTTCCTTGTTATAGCACTTTAAGGTAATCCTGTATAGAATAATCATACATTTAAACTTTTGTTTTATCAATTACTATTCTATTAAAGTCATGTACCCTGATACTTTTTGGCTAATCAAAGTGGTTTTTAAAGAATTTTGGGCTAAGCTAATTTACTAAATCTTTCCACTTGTTACCCCTTTTATTGTTATTCTCACTTCATTCTTATCAAAATAAGAAACTTTTTTCCTTCTTTTCTTTGAGAACATTTGAATTCTTATTAATCTAAAACTACTATTCGATAAGGTGTCTATCCCTCTATTATTCCAGGCACTGGTTTTATTTATAATAATCTATTATTAGCCAATTATTAAATTGATTTAAACCTTTTGATAACTTTTATTTAAACTCTCCTAAGTATTCCATTACATGATATTTCCATTTTCATTTGATACTCTTTGACTGTTTCCAAACATTAGAACATCTAATTGAAGGAAATCTCTTAATATTGTAAACATCTAAAGTAAAATCATCTTTAAAAAGAAAAGTTGTGCTGACTTCCACATCACTGCTTTTATATTTTCTCAAGCTTTTCTTTTATATTACCCCTGATATATAATTTTACTCACATATAAAACTCTTTTCAAAAGTTTATATTTTTTCCAAAATTTAATAAAAGTTTCATTAAGAATTCATTAAAATCAATTATTTTAAAAGGTTAAGATCATATTAATTAGAAATTTCACCTAAATTTAATCCTAATAATTTAGTCTCTTTACACATTATATTATATGCATTGGAATATATCAACAATTAATACAGTTTTTCCTCTTCATTTTGAATTTCAATCTCCTTATCAGCCTCCTAATATCTGATGTTAAATCTTAGCAACTTTTATAAGAAGTCAAATCATCTTAACTGACCTTCTACTCATATATCCTCTAAAATATCATTGTAAATGTTCACTTCTCCATCTCAAAAAATAAAAGTAACTAGCAAGTTATATCAACTGTAAATTTAACAATAGCAAGAAAAAGTATTTCTTTTTCATTTAATTAAAATTTATAATAATTAAAATTTTTAAAAGGATGACTTTACATTAAAAGTTTATTTCTTTTTGAATTTATATTAAAACCTCAACTTGATATATCTCACATTCTGGTTTCTTGTTCTCTTTTAGTATAGTTAATTAATTATCTCTCTAATATTAGATCTTTAGAAAAGGATGATTTAAAAATTCAGAATTAAAAATGGTGATTAAAAAATTACCAAATTAATGATAAAAATGTTAAAACTATTGCCTCAAGACCTGAAATTAAATAGATTGTGATGAAGAATGAAATTTCAATTTCTTCGTTAATTTTTTTTTATTAAAAAAAAAAATCATTTTTATGGATGAAGAGTCTAAACTAAGAAGCAATAATCAGTGCTCAATTGCAGTAGAGACAAAGTCTTTTTAACCACTTTTAATGAAAAAAATTCAAAATGAAGTTCTAATCTTTGTTTATTTGCAGGAAAGCTCTTTAACATAGAATTGTAGAATTTTCTGATTACAAAAACAGAAATTTAAATTATAAGATTTGGATTATTCATAAATATTTAAGATTAGAAAATTGTGTCTAATAAACAACTAACTAAAATGAAATAATTAGATGATTATTTTCATCCAAGTAATTCATAAAATCGTACTATTAAGGTGAATTTTTTTAGAAATTAAATATCAGAATTATTAATGAATAAAACAAGATCTTTTCAATATTTAATCACAAGTAATTTTAAAATTTAGATTTTCTAGAAGGTCCTTAAATATTTCTTAAACTTTTGTGAATTCGAGACTTAGATTTATTAATTAAAAAAATGATCCAAGTTATATTAAAGTTCATAATTTTAAAAGCAATCAAAATTTTACTTTAAGTATTTA